ACGCTAGCATACCTTAAAGGTCGCTTAGGCTATTAGACTCAGGCTAACATCCATCCAGTGTGTTCTGATCGCCTTACAGGAGGGTTTGTTGAACTATTCTGAGTTTTAAAGTGAATTTACTTCATTTTAAATTGATTTCAATCGAACTAAAGGAAGAATAGAATAGAAGAAAAATTCAGACATCTTTTTTTATGCCTTATCACTCGTCTCCATGGTGGTTCCCCTCCCTGACCCATCCAGGTTCTCCCCTTCCTGTCCTCAGCTTCGACCTGTTCCACATCTCTCTACCTGAAAACATTTTCCAGGCTGGACATCTCATCATCCTCTCCTCCTCCTCAGTAAATGGTCGTCTGTTTCTGCCTAAATGTGAAGAGCTTAAAGGCCCATTTTAGCAGCACCACGTGTCGCCCTAAGCCTCCACTGCTGTCCCGGCTGCTCGCTGTACCCTCGGCTCGAAATGAGAGCGCAGTGAGAAGTAGGTCAGAAGCAGAGGGTTTGGAGGCTGAAAGGGAGGCAGAGCAGGGAGGAGGTTTCATTACAGCCCTTCATCCCCGGCCCCCAAAATGCACCCCTGGATATGAGGAAGTTTCTTTCCCTGTTATTTCAGGAAGTGAGATCCTAAGATAACACGTAGAGGGACCCGATGATCTTAAAGGTTTTTACCTCGACCACCTGCTTCCCTTCAATATGTGGAGCGATGCACGCGTATCTGATGGACTATCACGTCTTTGGTCTTTTCTGGATTCAGGGAGCGAACATTTTCCAGGCAGGAAGATATGTGAGCCACCTCCTGTCCATCAGTTGTCAACCAGATGATTATTCTCCTCCGTTCCACTGAAACTGTCGGCTAAGTCGTGTTTTTAAAACATAATCGACCCGCTAACAATCAGCTTTTAGCTCCATTCCCTCTGTAAAAAAAAGCTGGTTCGCAGCTGTGTCTGGTGATGTCATCACACTCAGTTAGCATTAATGATGTCATCAGTGCGACAGAAATCAGGAAAGTAAACAATGGAGAGCAACATGTTAGGAAGCCAGGGCGTAGTCAGTCTGCTTTATTGTTTCTCTCTATTATCAGAATCCCTCTCACCAGAGCTGCTCCATGTTTATCCAATGGAAACAGAGCTAATTCTGCTTATGAGGTCAGTAGCGCCGTGTGTTGACATTCGTACGTTATCTTGTAAATTAGCGGATCGACCCAGGTCTGATGTTCCCGCTGTTTACTTAGCGGAGCTGAGGCAATAAAGGCAATTTTAACGCGGGTCGCTTACTGAGTCGGGTAGACTCGCGTCACTCAGCTGTTCCCACTAAAAGCAGAACGTTCGCGGGTTTAAACGGTTTTTTCAGCCAGTGGGAAAGTTTTCTAAGTTTGTCAGAATTTTATTTCCTTCAGGTAAAAAAATCAGATTCCATTTCTGCCCTTAAAGGAAAATAAAAAAGATAAACTGGGAGGCTGGTTCTTATCGGTCTTGCCACTAGAAGCGCTGCACTAAAATCACTGGGCTTTCAAACAGCTTAGTAGAACAGAATAGAATAGAATGGAATAGAATGGAATAGAATAGAATAGAATAGAATAGAATAGAATAGAATAGAATAGGGAAATTAAGGCGTGTTTCTGTCAAAGCATTAAATCGGCATCAAACAGGATCCATGTGGGAAAAACCTTTTATTTTAAGCTGTTTGGTGGAAAATAAAACAAAAAGGGAGAATCTTATAATGTGTGCAGATCTCTTCCTGCTCAGAGTCTGAATCACTGCAGCCAAACTGGAAGCTACTGGGTGAAGCTAACTGGACTTCAACCTTCAAACTTCTGGCTGTTGCTGGGATTATTCACACAGAGGCAGAGAGCTTGTTTTACACCGTTCCTCTGCTCAGTAAACCTCTCTCTGAGGTTGGGTGCCTTCCACATTATTACTCACACTGGAAAACAGGCAGCAGTACTGGTACCAGCAGCGTGATTAATGCAATTAGCTCAAACACACACATGACTGGGTTAGTGTTGCATAAAAACCAGCCTCTCTGGTCCTGGACCATGATGGCTGCTCTGTTTATCTACTGATAGCTGACGGTGATTAAAGGTCAACTGGAACAGCAGCGTACTGATGACATCACCACATTCAAAGCTCGTCTGGAGCTGCATTTCACCTCCTGTTATTAATAGTCTCTAGATTATAATAAATTAGGACCTTTATCATTTATTGGGGTAATAATA